AGTCTATACACGTTTGTGCCGTGAAGTTCTCAGAAGTCGCGGCTAGCGTTGTTCACGCGCTTATGGAGTTCCTCGGCGATTCGAATAATCCGTCGGCTCTGGATGTCGTCGCCTTTGTTCGGTGAGTGACCCTTTGACACGCGTCTCCATCTCGTCGCACAAACCAATATTACAATTCAGCGAGGTCGTTGAAAAATTCCCAGAACTGCGGCCTTCAATCACTGAACACTTGATTCGTACTCTGCCAGAGATGAAATCGGGAAAGGTTTATCGTGGCGTCCTTTGGATTCTCGGGGAGTATGTCGAGAGTGCCAATGAGATCGTCAATACTTTCCAGGTGGTGCGGAAAGTACTCGGAGAGATCCCTATTCTTGCCGCCGAGCAACGCCTACTCGATGAAACCGGTCCCGAAGACGAAGAGACAAGGGAAGAAGACGAGAAGAAGGAAACTGTCACGACGAAACCGAAGGTTCTCGCCGATGGCACGTATGCCACCGAAACTGCATATTCAAGTACTGCCTCCGCTCGACTGGAGGCGGTTAAGGCGGCTAGTAAGCCTCCATTACGGAGTACGCTTTCATCCTCTGGCTCCACGCCGCAGGCTGATACTGGCGTCGCTTCAGCTCTCCTCCTCAGTGGCGACTTCTTTACTGGAGCTGTCCTCGCTGCAGCCCTGACGAAGCTTGTTCTTCGATTTTCTAATTTTTCTCCCGACAAGAAAAAGGCAAACGCGCTTCGTGCCGAGGCGATGCTTATCATGACGTCGACCATACGTGTCGGCCAGTCTAAATTCTCTTCGGCACCTATTGACGAGGATTCAAACGAGCGGATATTTACTTGCATCCAGACTTTGAGCGAGCTTGAGATCAAGCCTGTCGTGCATGACATTTTCCTGAACGACACGAAGGCGGCATATTCAAAGATGGTCGCCGCGCAAGAGGTATATGTTGTTCGCGTTCGGTCACTTGATCGCTGACAAGTAGGACAGAAAAAGGCAGCGGAAAAGCGGGAGCTCGAGGCAGCAAAACAAGTTGTCGTTCAGGTCGACGACTTGCTCACTTTCAGACAATTCACAAAGAAAGCCGTGGACGATGTGCTTGATGTATGCATTCGCTCCTTGACTCAGGAGCGGCCAATCGTTCATGACGGGTTTACAGTACGATGAAGACGTTGGACGAGCGACTGGAGCCGGAGAAGTCCAGGAGGATTTCATATCCAATCTGAGTCGAATCTCACAGCTGACCGGTATTTGATTTATCGGGAGATCGTTTCGACACAAGTCTCATACTCATTCACAGGTTTCTCTGACCCCATATATGCTGAGGCGTACGTAAAAATTCACGGATTTGATATCATGCTCGGTTCGTTCCACATCGTCATTGCAAATAATTCACTAACCCGTTCACAGACGTTCTTTTGGTCAACCAAACGTCAAACACCTTGCAAAACCTTTGTGTTGATTTTGCAACGCTTGGAGACCTTAAAATCGTGGAGCGACCAACAGTCTACACCGTTGCCCCACACGGCTTTCAAAGCATCAAAGCCACCATCAAAGTTTCGTCAACAGAGACGGGAGTGATTTTTGGTAGCATTCTTTGGGAAGCGCCGGATCTGTCTGAGCAAGCCGTCATCTTGAGCGACATCCACGTTGACATCATGGATTACATCAAGCCCGCCTATTGCACAGAAGCCCAGGCACGTATTCTTTGTTGTGCACGCCGCATCCTACCTGCCGACGTTGATCGCGTGTTTCGCTATGCAGTTCCGCAGCATGTGGACTGAGTTTGAATGGGAGAACCGTGTCAATGTCTCCACGACGATGTCGTACGCGAATTTCACTCCTGATTTCATATTTCCAGCTTATGCTCCCTTCCTAGTGAACCACGCGAATACCTGAAGCACATCATGAAGTCGACAAACATGTCCTGCCTCACCCCTGAAGGCGCCATGGCAGGCGACTCTGATTTCTTGTCAGCTAACATGTATGCTCGAAGCCTATTCGGTATGCAATTGATTTTACCACTCGTCCCGGGCGACACGCTGATGGTTCCCCTTAGGTGAAGATGCTCTTGCGAACCTCAGCATCGAGCGCCTGGAATCAGGTACCATTACTGGGCATGTCCGCATTCGCAGCAAGACGCAGGGAATAGCGCTGTCGCTGGGCGACAAGATAACCATGAGTGAGAATATAGTTCCTCCATCAAATCACTCCACTGATCTCCACTCCATTCACGCACAGCGCAAAAGGACAACAAGAAACCTGTGAAGTCTTAGATACGTTACATTAATTCTTTGCTTGTGTGAATTATCCAATATAACGATCTTTTACAACTATCATCCCGGGTACGACCTGGTCTACAGTCGACACTTATAATCCATATCCCGTGAGATCGGGCCAGGTTGACCTCTGATAAGGCGAAGTTCAGGAAAACGGAAAATCCTCTTTGTTATCAAAGAGAATACATTATGTGGAGTATGTGTTACAAAAGAGGCAAATGATCAACTCTTAACGAAGCGGTGATGACTAACTGGACAAAGGGGAGGAAGAATAACCGCGACAGGTCGCAGCAACGCATGTCATGATACAAGGTCGATATCCATGTCCACATCTGACGCAACAACTGCGGTCGACAAGGCGGACTTCTTCGTAGCAGAACGCTGTAAAGGCGCAGGTGGTGCAACCCCTTCTGGCGCGGCAGACGCGGAACGCGACGATGCCGCCGTGGAGATGGCGTCAGCCTTGGGCTTGCGCTTTCCCGGGGTGCGCGTGACGGAGGGTGGCGTAGAGATAGACAACGCAGGCAACTTCGGGAGGGAAAGGGCCGCTTCGGTGGCGACCGCCAGCTCCGAATCCTTGTCGCCCACCCAGGCGCGGGCGAACCAGCGGCCGCCGGAGATGCCGCGGATCTCTCGGTGGGCCATTCGCCAGTGGCGCGGCTTGCTCTTCGTGCGATCGAGGGGGACGATCGGCGCGTAGCCGGTCGATATCTTGGGCGCCGGCTGCACCTGGAACGGTTTCGTCGGGAGTGGGTAGCGCGGATGCGGGACACCCTCGATGTCCTCTAGCGTGGTGGGCTCCAGCGCGGGAACTGCAAAGACAGCCATCGCAGTGTCCCCAGCGGGCATGGCTTCCTGCTCGGCTTCCTGCTCCGGCTCCGGCTCTGGAGTGCGCGCATCGACGTGGGCGGGCGAGGAGGGAACCGTACCGGCGTGACCTGTCATGATGCAGGGGAAGGGACATTGGGCATTGAGGCTCAATTCTCGGACCTGTATGAGAAGCAGGAAATCGTCACCTTCGCTCACATCGGCAGCTGCGTCCGATGTCGGAGGTACGACGGCCGTCGTCGTTTTCGGTCTACTTACGCAAAGATAAGAAGAGTATTAGGAATTAGAAAGGGGGGGATAAGAAGGGCAACTATCTGCTCACTTTGATGCCGATTTGCGCGGGGCACGTTGGGCAGCCGTGGTACCTTTCGGGACTGCCTTGTTTTTGGCACCAGGGGAAGGAGCCAGGGTAGTAGCCTGTGGGAGTGTCACCTGAGACTCAGCGGACGCCTTAGCATCCGGGCCATCGTTAGCGAGATTGCCTTGCGCTTCTAATGATGCAGCGGCGGGCAGCGACGCGGGAGGCGCCGCACTGGCTCCACCAAGACGGGCCTTGCGTCTCGCCTGCGAGCTCTTCGTCTTTGTCAGTGGACGCTTGGTGCCCGACTTGGTGGCGGACGACGCGCCAGCGCCAGCGGCTCCGGCTCCAGAGCTGGAGGGGGCAGGGGTGGAGGCGTCCTCCTCGTCATCGATGAGTTCGTCTTCCTCGTCCTCGTCCGGTCCATCCTCGTCCTCGGCCTCCCCAGCGACCCCGGCCTCTTCTCCTGTCTCGCCGTTGAACGTGATGAATTTTGTGCCCACTTTTGCTTCGTTGACGAGGAGCTTGACGCGGAACTTGCCCGTGCGTGCGGGGGAAGCGTGGGTCGGAGGGCTCTCGCCATCGTCGTGGAGGGTGGATATTTGCGGGGCATCCATCTCGGTATCGTTGTCCACCATCGGCTGAGAGGGCTGACTGTCACTTGGTGGATCGTAAGTGATCCAAGGGGACGCTCGGAACATGTTTCGAAGTTGATTTATCAATTGACACGACCCGAGCAACGATGTCGTTGGGAGGTCGTCATTGCCCCGGTCCGCTCATCCCGGTCCTCTCGGTGGCTGCCACGGCAGCAGTGCTTCTCCTTCGAACATCCCACAAGATTGGGCGCTCTTTGAACTGCTACCACCACTAGGTGTGGATTTCCCATGGCAAAGCTAGGGCAAGGGTGGGCAATGAAGATGACAGTGACTTCTGCAAAGTCAGGTGTCAAGGCTCTCACAGACCTTGACAGTCAACTATGAATGTTCAGCAAATACAACACTCTACTTAGAGTATGGGCCTTAAAGTGTAAAATGTATATGTGACCATAGATGGCATTAATGATCTGAGTAGAGAGGGTCTCTGCTTGGAAGCAGGTAGAGGGTAAGGAGTTGGTATTATTTACCAAGTCAAGATTAGGGCTTACTGGTACCCTCCATGGGGATCTTGAGAATAGAGCCAAGAGAAGCCAGAGGGACTAGGGGGGATGAAAGGTGGTCCAAAGAGTACCTTTCCAAGAAGAGAGTATCACTAACCAAATGGACAGTCTAAAGACTATCTGTGTTTATTGTCCATCTTAGATAGGGTACAAGATGAACATACATATATGTACAGATGAGTAATGGAGAAGGAGGACTGAGTAATCCACAGCAGATGATGAGTAGTGTGCAGCAGGGAATGAATAATGCCTTAGTAAACAATGCTGACAGTCAAAGAGGTCTGAGGCATGTGATTTGTGTGTGATTAGGTCCAGGCCAATCATTTGGGGTTTAAGAGTTTATTAGAAGGCACTCGAGTTGTGTCCTATAGATGTGTGCTCATAGGGATTAAGTTTCCATTGGATACACCATCTGTCATATAGATTAAACCACTTCACTAAGGCTGGATGGCTCAGTGGTTAGAGCACTTGGTGTATCTGGAGGTCCCGGGTTCAATCCCGGGTAATGGACTATTCTTGTGAGATGATAGCCTGGAGCCGAACTTGGCACCGCCGTCTTGCCGGTTAGTTGCATGTAATCTTGTTCTGATCTCTCTAAGTGGGACAGTTTGCTCCCATCTAGTTAATTTTTGGGTTGGTCGATTCAAGGAATGGGTATCCCAAAATCAGGTTATCTTGTCCTATATCGGCGATTAGAGATTGGTGAACTTGTCTCTGTCCGAGTAAATTCAGTTCTAGGTCGACTGTTTCGTTTTTCCCTAATCGATTTGTAGTCCCGTCGACGTTTTTGACGTGTCTGGGGTGTGACAACTTTCACGTTTTGAGTGAGAAATAAAACATTCTGTAGCCCCGCTGTCTACGAGAGCTTTTCTTTTGGCTTTTTCGTGACCAGAAAATATGAAGCAGTTCACTGTTATTGACTTCCTAAGAGACTGATACATTTTTTCCAGTCCTAGAGCCCGAGCGACCGCCGATGTGCTCAGGCGTTCACAAAATCCTCCTGTTCTTCATCCTCTGCGTCCATCAAGGCTTTGATGAAAGCTTCTCTGTCCTCCGCCGAAAGTGCCTTAGCTGCCTTAGCCATCTTTAAGGCGGTATTCTCCTCCACTATTTCTATGGTGGGAGAATCAGTGGGACTCGTGTCGGCAGCGCGCGCGCGCGTCGTTTCTCGATTGGATTTGGAGGGGCAGTTGCGGGCCAGATGCCCCTGTTTCGAGCAGGTGGAAGCATCTTCCCTCTTCACGGTGCTTCCGTTTCTCGGCTACAGTGGTGGCTTTACGCGCGGCGCCTGCACTGGTGTCCATTGCGTTCGGGTCGCGCGGCGGGAGGCGTGGGCGCCGCGCGGGCGTCGCATTGTCGGATTGTTGCTGCGTGTTCCTCAATTGGAGAGACGTCCCCAAGTTCGCTTGGTGTTTTTAGTGGGGTTGCGGCCGCGGGCGATAACGTACTCTGAAAGGATAGCGCGTTTGCGCATCCAGACGCGATGATGTTTTTGAGCGGCGGCCACCCATTCTCTTGAAAGTCGTGGGGTCTTCTAGGTTGAGGCAGGACTTAATCAAGCTTCGAGGTAGGCCGCATGCGAAAAGGCGCATGGCGGTTGGGTCGTCTGTGTCGATAGCGGCGCATCCAGCTAAGAGTTCAAAGTCGGCGATGTATTCGTCGAGGTTTCCCTTCCTTCATTTTGAGTTCTCTGAGTTGGTCTTATGCGCGTTTCTTTTCCGGCGTAGTCCGTGAAAGCATGTTTGCATTTTTGTTCCATTGCTTCCCAGGCGTCGAGTCCGAATCGGATTTCGGTTCGATCGCGCTTGACGGCTCGGAGCCATTTGTCCATGGTTTCGATCCAGCCATCAACTTTTGGCCCTTCCATGAGTGACAGGAAGTACGCGCATTTCTTGATAGGGTCCATAGCGATCTTTGAGCCGTGGTTCATCATCATGAACTGGTTGAAGGCGTTGAGAAACGCATGTGTGCGGGAGCGATCGCCGTTGAACGCTTTCGGGTTGACTCCTTCGAGGCGTCCTGGTTCCTTGCTGTGTGCGTTATTGTCTTCATCCCAGTCATATGGGTCGGGACTGGGAGGGCTTCGTCCTCTTCCACCGCGTCCAAACTCTTGGAATTGAGCTGCGCGGGGTGGAGCCGGAATGGTTTCGGATGAGGCGGGTGGCGGTCCGGTTGGCTCGGGTTCGAGTGGGGTACTTACGATCGTCAGGGCTGGGTATTCCACTTCCATGTGGGGGCGGACGTGGGTTGATCAGGAGCGGGCGTCGGGGCGCGGCTAGGAGCATGAAATCCTGGGACTGCTCTCCAGATTTGATGAGTTCATCGAGATCAATTCCTTTGAGGGGGTTGGTTGCCAAATTGAAGGCGGGTCGTGCGACGCGGTGGGCCTTCCCAATAGTTCTCGCGTCTTCGGATTTCGAACCAAAGACCGTAGAGAGTTCCCAAGGACACTTTACAGTAGGTGTAGTACCCAGTCCAGGGTGCTCCATTTTCGCCTAGCTTAAGAAGTTCGACGCCTTCGTCGAATAGGATGGGGACTATCTTGTCCGCGTCTGGTGTTGATCTAAACGGGCACCTTAGAGCTGCTAGGGCTTCAGGAGTAAGTCTGGCATGTTCTTTGAGTCTCCAATCTCTGGCCATTGTAGACATGTTGAGTGGAATCTAATGTCAACGGGGGCGTGTCGCTCAAGGTGTCGCTGACAAAGCTGTTCACGGCGGGGCGAGACGAGCTGGTGGATAAGTTTTATATTTTTTATTTATTGTAGGTCAACTAGTCAACCTTTGAATTAACCACTGTTTACCTTGAGAAGTTCGTGTGACTTTTCATCTGTGTTTGAAAACAAGTGCGGAGTCAATGGAAATTGCCATAGAGGAGCCAAATTGGTGGGGTGCTTGCCATTTCTGGGAGCGTGACAGATCATGCGAAAAGTCGTCAACAGCACTTGGAATATTTTACTTTTATTGTCTGCTAAGTTGACTATAAGTGGACTTGACTTATCCATTCCTAGTGCGGTCACAATAATTATATAAGCTAGTTTGCTGGCCCACTGAGCAACGCCGACATCCTCAGTCTCAGTGGCAGTCTACTATCTCCTCAGGTCGGTACCTTTTCCTTTCATTTTACCCTTATTGCAGGCTCATTATCTGCTTAGCGTCTTATTTTTATCTATCTAGAAGGATCCCTACTCCGCCCCGCCCTCGGTCGCGTAAAATAGGGCGTCATCATGGTCACTTCTACCGTCAATGTATGTGACTCTTCTTCTGCGGAGTTGCTTAACGACATATATTACAGGTTTTCCGGTATACCGCGCTCCTCTCGGGGGTGTTTTATGGGATCTATCATCGTCGAACGCTACAAAATGCGCATGACGCGGAGAAGGCGCACCATGCCAAGCATGAGCGAGAATCACTAATTGCACAGGCGAAGGAGGCTTGGAAACAAAAGCAAGCAGGGAACAAGGATGGTAGTGAGTCACGCTACTCTAAAACACTCTCACCTGGAGCGGCTTGTCGGAGACGACACGCATCTGTTGGACGCGTTAATGCCCGTCCGAAAACGTTACTCCTGCTCTGTTTCATCAGACCACAGTGTCCCTTCGTTGCATCCCTTTCTTGCGTCTTCCAGGGCCCCTTTCTCCTTGCCTTGTGTGCTGTCCACTAACGACTTGTACTTGCAGTTGTCACAGACCCAGAGGACCCTCAGTTCGATCTGGAAAAGTTGATAGCAAAGTGGGAGTCGTCATAGACGCATGTATTGCACGTCGACATGAGGTTGCTAGCATAAAATAGATTTACTGTCAATGGACACTCATCCACTTGCTGTGATATAGCGTGAGAAACCTACTATTCAAACATGCGCACAGCGCGTCGCGTCTCGGAGCTTTGGTCTTTGCCTTTCCACTTCATATCGTTCATTTCTCAGCTGCCTCATGAAGCCTACGGTCACAGAGGATGAATTTGAAGATGCTGAAGAGGAGAACAAGTTTATCAATGAGGTGTGTGTCCCAGACAAGATAGTACGACTAGGCAGTTTTTGACAGTTTCCTCGTAGGAGTATAAGATATGGTAAGGAACCACCGCACGCGCAAGTGGCGCTACGCACATGTCTCGACAGGAAGAAGAATGCTCCATATCTATACGATCTAATGATAACGCATGCACTCGACTGGCCGAGTCTGACTTGCCAATGGTTCCCCGACAAAGAATCGTACGTCTGCTCTTCGTGCTCCCACTTCTCCCTAGTCGCCACCTCGACCTCGACTGACTACCTGACAAACTGGCAACTACACACCCAGACCCCCCAACAAGCCCTACACGATGCACCGTCTCTTGCTCGGCACACACACGTCCGGGCAAGCGGCGGACTACCTGCAAATCGCGACGGTGCAGATCCCCTCGCGCTCTGGGCCGGGCGCGGATGTCCTCGACCGCAGCTCGTACGATGATGAACGCGGCGAGCTCGGCGGATACACGCTCCCCGCGAGCCAGGCGCGGATCAACGTCGTGCAGCGCATCAATCACTCGGGCGAGGTCAACCGTGCGCGCTACATGCCGCAGAACCCGGACCTTATCGCTACCAAGGCCGTCTCGGGTGACGTTCTCGTTTTCGATCGCACCAAGCATCCGAGCGAGCCCGAGCGCGGCGGCGTGTGCAAGCCCGACATCCGGCTTGTCGGACAGACGAAGGAGGGGTCAGTGTTCCCCCCCCCCTGCTTCTATCGCTGCTGTGTATGTCGGTCAAGAGTACTGACGATGGTCATCGAAGGTTTGGGCTGGCGTGGAACCCGAATAAGAAGGGCCATATTCTCGGCGCCTCCGAGGATAAGACGGTCTGCCATTGGCAAGTTTCTTAATCTGTGCCTTTCTGTCTCGTGTGCTGACAGGTTGAGGTCTCAGGGATGTGAATGCCTACTCAAAGGCAAATTCATCGATTGAACCTCTCAATGTATTTGATGATCATACCGCTGTCGTTGGTGTAAGTTCCGCATGACGAACCCAGCCGTGCTTGAAACTAACGCCTGAAATGCAATGCAGGACGTCGATTGGCATGCGACAAATGAGAATGTGTTCGCAAGCGTGGGCGACGACAAAATGCTTAAGATGTGAGTTTTCATCGTCCATTGAGTCTTAATGAATTCAAATCTCCTGTAGTTGGGACACGCGACAAAAACCACCAACATCTTCCATACAGGCACACGATCAAGAGATACTAGCAGTCGCGTTTAATCCAGGGAGCGAGACCCACCTAATCACTGGCAGCGCAGACAAGGTTCGCTTCCGAGGCTGGCACGTCGCGAGGATGGTTGTTAATTGGTTCTAATCAGACCATCTTGTTGCACGATATCAAAAGGTTTGGGAAGCCATTGCACACGTTCGAGGCACATACGGACGAGGTGCTTCATCTTGCGTGGTCTCCACACAGCACCACCATTTTCGCGTCTGCGTCCAGTGATCGCCGCATTCACGTGTGGGACCTCTCACAGATCGGCGTCGAACAAACGCCAGACGATCA